CCGTCCAGTTCGTCAGTTAACCTCGTCGCCACTTGTGATAACTGGGTAGTCCTGGGCCACGTTGGTCGCCTGACGAAATGATGCACAAACGTTGGCGAATTCCACACTGACCGACTGCTCATGTGCACCGTATTTATTTCATTGCAAACATCAATGCACCCGGGCGCCGAAAGGGCAGACCAATCTTATCATAGATAACTTTTGCAAGTTGCAATCTTCATCACTAAGTGATGCCTAGCTAACACTGTGATAGCCTTGATCCTGCTATGAAAATATAAATGTGACAGTCATACTGTAAATTAGTGCTCAGTGACAATCTAACTTTGCGCATCACGGCAGTAAAAAAAATTGCTTGTGCCCAGCCTAGCACTGAGGTTGACGGTAGATGGCACACCATTAGGTGGCACAGACAGTTACGTTTGGCATAACCCCCAAGCTTTTGTGGTTGACTGTACATTGCCATAGGGCAGTAGTTCTCAGCCATGGATGTGTCGGGGAACTCTTGTGCACTGGGGAAAGTAATGGTGGACCCCTTGCAGCGGAGGGGAGGGAGGATTCTAAGTAAATTAGCACAACTGAAACGTGAAACAGGTGCCTTTTATTTCTACCAAAAACATCAAACAAACGTGCCACATCACTTCATTTTACACAGTTCATCAATACGTGGCACAGTCGCACTTAAACAGAGTTGCATATCTGCAGCCACATTCAACCTGTTTTGGCATTTACTTTTCAAGTATGCAAGTCTGGAAAAAGCATGCTTGCGTGCATACGTTGTAGAAAACTGTAACAGAAGCTTTACAGCCATCTCATGGAGGAAGGGGAGCATTTCTGCAGTCCCCAACCAAAATGCCTCAATGCTCACAATGGCAAACTTTGCCTTCATCACTGTGTTTTCTTGGAGCTCTATCAGCTCATTTTCAGCTTCGACACATTTATATGTAAAGCAAGCTACATCAGCCTCAAAAGGGGCCACAAGCAATGTGTCTGGGGCAGATTCTGGGAAGTAGTCCTTCCTGTGGCACCTTAATGTGCTCAGATAGGCTGTGATTGTGGCTCTGTCACTTGCAGTTACTACCCCAGCACCTGCAAGACCACCAAGCAGCTTAAAAGAAGAGTAGTCACCTCTGTTAACCTGGCTCAACCAACTTAGAAGCTTTTTACAAAAGCCTCTCACCTTGTCCCCAAAAGAGACAACATTAGTGCCCATCCCCTGCAGGCTGCTGTTAAGATGGTTCAGGGGCTCAAACAGGTCCCACAGATAAGCAAGCTTTGCCACAAAAGAAGAGTCTTGACAAGGATCTCCGAGTGCCCTATCTTTTGCCAAAAAAGAAGACTCAGCTTCCCTCCAAGCTTGACCACTCTTGCAGGCACTTTTCTGCGTGACAACCAACGCACCTCGGTGTGCAGGAGCAAGTGTTGGTGCTCGGCACCCATCTCCTTGCACAGTACCTTGAAGAAGCGACTGGCTTTAGGCCTTGCCTTTACACTGTTCATGGCTTTGACAACATGTTGCATAACACTCGCAAGCTCTGGACTCAACTCCTTTGATGCCAAAGCTTCCCTGTGAAGTATACAGTGTGTGAACACTACTGCACTGTTCACTTTCTTAACGAGTCCTAAAAAACCTACGAGTCCTAAAAACCTAGTGACGGCCCGAGTGCCGTCGATGCACACAGCTACACACATGTCCCAATGAAAACGTGCAAAAAAAAATTGTTAATGGCATCGAAAATATCTTGAACCCTCTTTGTCCTCTTGAGTTCCAGGCAGCAAAGAAGTTCTTCGGTAATGACAGAGTTACCGGTATTCACAAAGCGCACAAAAACTATGAGCTGTGGGTTCCCGGATACGTCGCAGCTTTCATAGACGGCAAGAGAAAACTTCCCAGTGGATATCAATTTATCAATTACTTGGTCCTGCCCATCAGACGCCATTTCTCTGATTCTCCATGCCACAGCATCGTTTAAGCACGATATATTGTCCAGTTTTTTCACATGTGCTTTCCCTATAACAGCACCGAAGACGTCCTTCATGCAGGGCATAAGCAGAGTCTCGCAGATGGTATGAGGCTTCATCTCTTTGGCCGCGTCGTAGCTGAGCATGTAGCTTGCCTTGATAGCATGTGCAGAGCTTGCCAGCTGAAGAAATGAAAGTCTAAATTTGTACGCTGAACCAAACTTACAAACACTGCATCGACACTCTAAAACTGGTGCTTAAACCAGTCGCCTTCCCCATCCCACGACGCGTTGTATACATGTTGAAAGTCAATATGGCGCATGCACTAAAGCGAAACAACAAAATCTGCCAGCTAACGGTGAGGCCAGAGCCTCACGGATCAGCATACGCAGAGCGAACGTAACGCATATCGAGGGTCGCGGCTGCCGCAAACCTCGTTTGTGTAACTAACGTAAAGCACGTCGAACATGCATTCGGCGATTGATCAAGGTTCACTGCCGGAGCGAACGTCGTATGCGCAATTAATGTAAAACTGTGTTATGACAATTTTGACCTTACCTGGTAAGGATTATCCAGCTTTTGGGATTCCAGCTGTCGTTTCTTGGTTTCGAAGAACTCTATGTCCTTGTCTTTGTAGCTTAGATGCTTTGTCCAGAGATGGCATGTCAACTTCGCCGGCACCATGGAGCTTACAGCGAGTACTTCACCGCACAAAACGCACTGCAGTTTGCCGCCGATATTGGCAAAGCCAAACTTCACGTAACCTTCTTTGTAGCCACGTAACTTGGACATGGCTACGCGACTGAGACGAACACGTCGCTTCGCGACCTGGGCTAACAGGGTGAGACTGCACGGCACAGCCACTGATGCCAGGCGAAAATGGCGATATGATAATGCAACAGCGGAGCACCGAGACATGTGGCTGTCTGCCGTCTCCGCACCGTTCCCATGGAAGGCCATGTGCGCACCGATGATACATGCTCGCAGTCACGGCGCTCCTATGGATCTCGGCACCCCCAGGCACCCAGCGCATGAACCAGCGGGTACGGCAAGGTCGTGTCCGTGCCGCTGGTTCATGAGCTGGGGGCCAGGGGGGCCGCGATCCATCAGAGCGGCGTGACCGCAGAGTATGCACACAGAACACTTGTGTGCATTACTGAGCAGGCCGCGGGGGAGAGCACAGACGGCAGACTAGCCATATCCTAGGGGACCGTAACGTGATTCAAGAAGGTGTGGGGAAGATGGAAGGGAAGTGATTGAGACGACCTTGTGCGGATTGCGGATCACTGCGGCAGTTGCGGGAGCAGGTCGCGGAACTCTAAATGAGTCATGGCCGGACTTAACTCCGAAAAAATGCAAAAAAAAAGCGGGCAAGGGTTTCACAGATCATAGAAATGGCTTCGCGGACCCCCTAGGGTCCTCATTTGAGGACCCTAGAAACCTCATTTGAGAACCACTGCCATAGGGCATCGGAACACTTGATTATCACTATAGCTTCATGGTTTAAAGCCAGTCACCCAATACACAATGCACACACATTACTGTGCCCTTAACATTAAGGCCAGGTAGTGAATGCATAGCAAGCTCGAAAAGATTGAAGTACACACTAGGGACAGGATATCGCTATCGTGTTCAACTCTTCAAAGGCATAGCTTAAGGGTCCTCAATTTTTCGTCCCCACTAGGGCTCGTACAATCATGCTAATGAAACAACAAAAAATGCTTTTGGCTTACATCATCATGAAAACTCCACTAAGCTTTTACAGCAGGGCCTTGTGCAATGCAAGCTGCACAAATTTCAAACTAGATCACAAAGGTGAACCAGACTTCGAAGTCAGCAGGTAACTTTGCATTAGCATACATCACTGCATCAGGATACCGTATTTACTCGATTCTACCGCGCCCTCCATTGTAACGTGCACCCGGTTTCCACGAAGAAAAAAAAAGTAAGACATCGATTGCGACGCACACCTATTTTTCTCGTTCGCTCACACAATCACACCACTCGAAAAAACGACTCCTTTCGGGAGCGTCTTCCATTTAAATATGAGGTACGGGGGAAGCTTGTGCCCATCTGACGTGTAACAGAGCATTGCCGTCACTGTAGTTTTACCGTGGACCGATGTCGGCACGGGAACTTGCTTCACCCTCTTCTTCTCGATGGTTGTGGTGCCAGGCATGTTGAAGAGGCGTCTGATAGGCATTCCCGATTTGCCCAAGCAGGTAGCCGTTGTTGTGCCGCAAGTTTAGGACGAACCTCTGACAACTTTTCATCGTAGTCCTCCGGAAACTTTTCGCATATGCCCATTCGCATTCGGAGAGAAAAGCCTTTCCTCTTCATAAAGTTAGTTAGCCAGCACCTGCTCGCTTTAAACTGGCTCCGCATTAGCCTTTTTTCTAAGGCTAACTGCATAACCTGCCCTTGGAGAAGTTCTGTCGTCACGGGCCGCTGTGCCGCTCGCTGCTCAAGCGCATACTCGCCGAGCAGCTCTTTAATTTGCGGAAACCGACCCTGCAGTGGTCCACTGAAGCCTTTGCGTGAAGCTTTGCTGTCGACAATCTTCTGCTTTTGTTTCAGCCAACTCCGAAAGAGCGCGATGCTACCCGATTTCCATTCGTTTCTGCACACGCAATGACTTTTGTTTTAAAAGCGGCATCGTAGTGCACTAGAGTTTTTGGAGTCGGCCCTTCTATGCCATCGATGCTAATGCACTACAAGATGACGAAGTCCTCAGCACACGTACGAAGTGCCGCACATGGGAAACACGTATGGGCACAAGCTTCGCCCGTACCTCATATTTAAATGGAAGACGCTCCCGAAAGGAGTCGTTTTTTCAAGTGGTGTGATCGTGCGGGCCAGCGAGAAAAATGGGTGCACGTTGCAATCGATGTCTAACTTTTTTTTTTTTTTCGCGGTGGAAATCGAGTGCACGTTACAATCGAGGGCACGGTAGAATCGAGTAAATACGGTAATTTTTTTATTAAGAAAGACATAACAGATGCCTGTTAAACAGACCGTTTCCTGAAAGTAGGTGACCTCACCATGCTCGTCTGTGTGACGTTTGGACATCCTCTCAGACAGTGAAGCTTGAATGCTACTTGATGTGCTGGCCGCAGCAGATTTCTCGGTGTCTTCCGTGTCGGACGTGCCGCTCATAGACCGGGAGTCACATACGGCAGACTCCGAGTCACTAGATGAATCCACTGTGTAAAAGAGACACCAGGAATGTGATTAAATGTAGACACTACAAAAACCAAGTCAAGCTGTGTGGTCAAACTTGTAAACTGCATCAGCCAGAGACACTTTATAGTACCTTGAGTGAACTGTACTTGCTTAATTGGAGCTAGCACCATTCAGATGCTTCTCATATTAAATGTGTAAGGGTCCGAGCTTCTTGGTACAACTTCATCTTTTGCAAAGCAGCGCAAGAACAAGTAGACAAGAAGCAACACACAGGAAAAAGTGCTCAACTACCAACAAATGAATTTATTTTGCAAGCACGAATAAATATGCTTCTGAACATGCCAGGACGGGGGGTTTGAAAAGGCGCATGCAGCCCTATGTCGCATGTATTTAATGGTACAGAGAGCGAATCTCCTCGTCAATTTTATTGAGTGTGCAATGACACATGCTGACCCTACTTTAAACATTTCACAGGCTTTGACGATTCTTCGAGCACAGGAATCCAAAGCTGCAAACAATGTGCATCTGCTGGAAAAACGGTTTGCATCTGCACCATGCACAATGAATTGCCAAATTGCTGCCTGTCTTCATTCCAAAATTGCTGGCATGTTCTCGCAACCGATCATTGACACACTGGCTTGTCTGACTGATGCACAAGCCTCCACATGACGTCGGGATCTCGTACACTGCTCCTGTTTTGTAACGGACGAAGCGACAGGCATGTTTTTTCTGGCACGCGAATTTTGCAGAACTTGCTGCATTTACTCGCTTGCAGAGGTAGCTCAGTTTTACAGGAGCCGAGTAGACTAATTCAGGATACTATTACGCCTTGGTTAAGGCAGCTGCAAGCGAAGTTCAGTCTTGAGGTTATGATTGCGCCCTGCACTCGTCGCAAGCATTGCACACGTGGGTCTCGAATCCTTGTTGGTGGAAAGGTTCTGCTTATCAGCGCTTCGAACTTTGTCACGAAGACCACAGTACGACAAATCTTTGTACTCGCAATCGACCCTGTTATACTTAGAAACACCGGGCACCGCAGCCATGCACATCGCAGCAGCACTTTCTGCTCGAAGTCGTGCCTAGTCCTAACTCCATCCTGTACTTGGCGGGCAGACCATCACACTAGTGGGTATGCGAAAGCGAAGAAGCCGTTATGTGCATCATGGCAAGCAACGAATCATATTGTCAGCTGGCTCCTCAAAACCATGAATCTTGAGCATCGCAAGCGGACTCCGGCCAAGTTCACCATGCACCAACCGCTTGGACCAGCGGCCAACAACTTCGCGCGTCAGTGCCCCAATACGCAAAAATCAAGCACGCTGCGTGCCGATTTTTCATCGGTTTAGCTCGGCATAACTAATCACTGAAGGGGCCCTGAAACCCTTTTTCAAGTAAATATGGAATGAACTCTTTGGAAGAACTTATTTATATATAATATATAACGGTTAAACGCATGTAGTTGATAAGAAAGAGATCGCAGGTGCCCCATTGGCGCTGGGGCAAAGGCTTATCGGTCCCCGAGGCAACCATTCTCCTCCCTTACTCAGCAAGCCCGCGCCGTGTCCCACTGTCTCTTTTTAATTTATTTTTCTTCCCTTCGCCCTTCGTTCATTCACTCCGTGTCCTCTCCTCCTCCTATTGTTCGCTCCCCAGCGGTGCACCCAGCGCGCCTCCTTATGGAAGCGCACTCGCTACCACGCTTGTCACATACAATTTCTGGCAACTGCATTTAACCGGTCTTTCATCTTGGCATAATGCACAATAAGCGGTATGCGTATACATAGGGTTCTATGGGAGGGTAAACGGGAGTAGAAAAAGACCGCATTGTAAGCGGTTCTGCACTATAAGCGGTTATGTTATAAGTGGTCTACACTGTATTAGGAGAAATAAAAAGAGATTTCGTTTTTAAGGCGTTGTATTATACTACAAACGATATCTAATTAGGAATTCTTACTTTTGTCTAACGTGTTTTTAAGAGAATTTTGCCCGTATTGCATACTTGTTCATATCAAATTAGAGCCTTGTGATGGAAAACATGAAGGATGCATTGCACTCCCCTGTTGAAACAAAGTCTGGCACGCAATTGAGTCGCATTCACTGTACAGAGAAAATCCTCTTGCCTGCTCAGACATACCTTGTGGGGGAGCATGTGCGCCCAGCCTCCCTTTCCCTTTTATGGCAGCGTGACAGCTTGGTTGCAGGGACATGACTGTCCCTTTGAAAGCCAATAAATCTTTTTGCAAGGGGATGAAACACTCCTGCAGCCAGCGCTCGCGATTCCCCCTTTCTCGGCGCGCGGAACGTATTTCTCCTCCCTCAGCGAAAAAAAGGTATTATTCTCGTCAGAGAAAGAGAAACCGGGTCATGGAACAAAACTAGCGTGCGGACGACCACACGCTCTCTCTCACACCGGCCTAGGAAGGAGGAGTCGAACCTGCAACCCCCTGCGAGCTGAGGACGACAACGACCAAGGAGTAAGCGTCTACCCTTTTTTCTGTAGTATCTCCTCACAACATTTACGCGCTATTGCCAACGTATAGCGATAAAGTGTCGTTTTGTTGACCTAGCCTGTTGCCTTATTCGCCCGAACCCGTGTAGCTGCAATGAGACAAGTTACGGACAGGGGACGTTAATCATGCACAGTACGACTGTGTGCGGCTGGAACATTAGCTAGGCTTCTGCATTAGCCGTACATAGGACGGACTCCCTACAACCTTCATAGATGGTAGTGGCCCCTGTTCTAGCAAAACTCGGTCTCTCTTTGAAAGAGTTGTATATTTCCAAGGGCTTATGGCGTCATGGCAACACCATAGAGTGCGAGTTGTCGAAGCAAGAAACAAATGACCTACAGCGTTTAGTCAACGCCACTTTAGCCGCATACATAGCCTTAGCATTAACTTAGCAATAGCGTATACAATCACCCTTACTGTTAAACACAATTTGCGCTACGTGCTTTTATTTCAATGAAACAAGACGTTCAATAAAGCATTGCCGTTTACCTCAAGCTCTATGACAAGCATGGCGACGCGATACACAGATTCAATATTTATGACAGCACAGGATTTACAATTCACGAACTCAATCTCACATCACTTTTCCATTTTTCGCTTGCTTTGGGTCATAGTTGCCATAGTTACAGCAGGCAATGAATAAACCTGGCAGTGAAAGTTTCGTAAAACAACAAAACGTTAGAAGCGACCTTATGAAACGGGAATAACTCCCCTGTTTCATTTTGTGAATCCACAAAAGAATCATTTATTCATTCTAAGCAATACGTCAATTGTGGAATCGTTTGTTTTAGTACCACCATATGTACCGCACAGAAACGTCGCCTTCGAGAAATGTACATTGCTTCTTCGTGGACTCCAAGATGATCGCAGGTGCAGGTTGCAATTTAGGCAACAGATATATTGCTAACCGACGCTGAACTCGACTTCTACTCAGGTTTCTTTATCATGATTGTTATTTATTTATTTATTTAATTTATTTATTTATTTACAGTATACTACGGTCACAAAGGACCATGCAGGTGGGAAAATATACAGTTTCAAATTTACAAGCACAAATGGAGCCAGTAAGGCACACAAGCTCACAGAAAAGGGAAACAATGCAATCTTACGGCATATCTAGAAGTATTACCATGCGCAGCCTGTCAGGATAAAAAAATAATACAGTTCTAAGGAGAGTGACGCACATTATAAGAAATGTAAAAGTAAACAAAAAAGAACTCTTCCCGGAATATGTCAGGTGCGTAAATGCAGTATTTGCAAATTATGAAGTAACACTGTATCAATAAAACACGTAGTGAAAAAAAAACAACGAAATTCAAAAGTGAAAGCGATGAACATTCACTGTTTACTGCATTTCCAAATCAATAATCAATTCTTAATTTCAATATCAATGAAGTAATGCAAAATAATGGTTGTAGGCGTGAAAATTATGGCCATTGTTTGGGAACGACTTCTTTTGTAGCGCGGAGGCATGTAAAATAAGGGCAATGTGGCCTCATGGGTGGAGTTCATATTTATTCTTAGGTTGTCCCCAACTATAGTTAAGTGAGGCTCACAAGTAGGTACTCACGGCAGGTACCACATGTGTTTACAAGAGCCTGGGTGCACACTGAAATGCCTAATAAGTGTCCTGGAAGGCTCTAGAGCCATTTTGGGTGTGGCTATGGCAATTCGATCACTTCGACAAAATAAAAAAGCATGAATTAGTTTTTTCAGACTGCACAATTTTCCAAACAATTTTGCAGTCCGTAATATCGCACATTACCCAAAATATCACACACTGACTGAAATGGAATGAAATGGTGATGACCGAGATGACAATGATGATGCTAAATCATGATAAAAACACACGTGATCATGCGCACTTATAGCTTCGCTGTTTGAGAGTTATCATGGTGTCACCATTATTATTATTACTCAGTTTTTTAGGATTAATTATTATTTACTCTAGGCAGTCTACTACTCTACCGATGCACCTCATCTATATATGGGAGTAAAAACACCAGAAAACCGTACCACTAACGGAAGCATTGTGCTCAACCTCCTGTCGCTTGGAGCGGTGCGAAGAGGCCTCACCGTCAGGAGAACTGCGCTTCGTCCCATGACGTGATACCAGCTCGCGGCTCGGAGGACGCGACAGAGGCTGAGAGGGTGCGCCGAGTGGTGGGGGCAGTGATCCCAGGCGACCTCCGGAGGATGCTGCCGACAGCTCCGAAGGAACACCCTCGGACCCTGACTTTGACAACTGCACATCATATGACACAATTAATTCATTCATGGATTATTACAAAGTGAGCATGCCTAATTTCTTTAGAGGTATATAAAGAATAGTAGCTGCGAGACAACGCTAACACGGACAGCATATTTCTATGCTTTCACATTCAAAAAGCATGTTTTCTCCCGGTCCCCCCACGGGCCCTTAAAGGCCTAGCCATATTATAACATGCTGTGTGGATGGGCCTTAAGTCCCCCAACATATATTTACACATGCCTATCTCTTGCCTTCAACTTTCTTTCCATAACGACAATGTCACTAAAATGCAATCACCTCCTTACATAGTACTAAATGTTAAACAGCATGCAAATTCATGTCGAATCAAGTAAACACATCTCTATTAAGGGGGGGGGGGGGGGAGGTGGGAATCAAAGCTATATTTCTTTAGTTTTGGTAGTAGAGCAATAAAATTTGGCGTGCTTAACAGAAAGTGCACAGAATGACAATTTACGAAGTATCATTAGAACACTTTCAGTAGTTTTGAGATAATAAATTTTTACTTGCATCATCATCATCATCATCATCAGCCCGACTACGTCCACTGCAGGACAAAGGCCTCTCTTATGTTCCGCCAGTTAACACGGTCCATTTGACCTATGCATGTGGGAGGTAGTGGCCAGATCCTGCACCAGGGTGGCCAATCCTCCTCTGGTGAGGGAGTGCGTTTTCGGTGGTTGTTACCGGTGAGGCCACACCCCAGGCCTCTTAATGCAGTTCCATCACCACGCGGATTTGTTTGTTTTTTTTAATCCAGTTGGGAGCTGCGCGGCACCAGGATTTGAACCACGGACCTTTTGTATGCGAGGCAGATGCTCTAACCACTACACCATCACTGCTCTCACTTGCATCACAGCTGTATCAAACTTTGCAAAAGCCTGGCATGACAAAAAAAACATGGTAAAAGCCTATTTGCTCTTATATTTTAGCCATAGGAATGGTTCATGCTATGACAATCTCTAAATATTTTCAACACCCCAATTTTTTTTACACAGAACATTGCATCGACGTTTGTATAATGCATTTGTTATCGTCCTGATGAATTAGCTAAACAGTAAAAAAATGAAATAGTAATTTTTTAAAATGAGAACGTCATAGTATAGAGAATTCACGGGGGAATGCAATGCAACAGACCTAATGAAAATCCATCAAGCCATAGGCGTGCTAAGCTCTGGTCAAGCGGGTCTGTCGGGTCAAAACACACTTCTGAGAAAACTGGCTCTAAAGTTGCACAGCCACTAGGCGTAAATCAAAATGCCCTGGGGCTGTAATATTTAGACTCTTTGCTTTCAGGGACCTTCCTTGTGCCCTTGCTCTCTTATCTTTTGTGCACCGCATGTGTTCTTTTCTTTGTTTGTCATTTTTGTCAGCTTTTTGAAGGGTGAGCCTACCAGGTTTGATATTAGAAGTTTGTAAGCATGCAAGATGAGGCGTGCTTTGGCAGTTATGGCCAAGACTTAGGTGACACAGGTACTTCTGAGAAGATTAATTGACGCGAGTTTGGCAGATTCTCTTCGGAACAAGTTCATTTCTCAACTTCACCCTGACACACTTCATTCTTCACCTGGTCGCGAAAACGTAGTTGGCAGGGCTTTCATTATTTCAGTACATTTATAAACACTTGCTGCAATACCAAGCACAGCTTGAAATGCGCTTAAATTATATCACCAACATTTATATTCCTCGCCAAGCATTGGGCCGCTAGGTCCGGGAAGTCGGTACCCGAATTGCTGGGTGGCGGCATTCGGCAGCGATGCGCAATATGCCTAGCCGCGGCAATGAAACATCGGCATGCTGTGTGCTTGACCTTGCATTTAAGAGCTGTCATGAATTTTTATATATCTCGGGAGCGCTTGTGAAGGATGGATTTGAGAGAGAGACGCGGGACGCGAGCGTGGCAAGACAAACATACTTTATCATTCAAAATGAACAAGAACAATACACAGAATTTTCGTTAAAGCACTCAATAATAATAACACTCAAAAATTCAAATAACAATAACTACAAAACAATCTGCGTATATGGACAAACCCAAACTGGCTGTAGCTTAGTTCTAATTGATTGCTAGCCATACCCCTTAGCCTTAAGCCAATATGGCGTCAACAATGGAACGTTCTTACAGCTTGTCGAAATTCTCGTTGCCCCTTGCGATGTCGACATTTCGTCGAGTCCTCCATCGTTGACGGGCTTCTCTACTTCTTTACAGTCGCCATTGGTTGCTCCCGCCACACGAACCGCTTTTCATAGCCGATGCCCCGGTCTTCCTCTCAGTCTTCGGCCTCTCTAGGCCCCAGTCGTCAGGAACTCTCCCGCTGACGTGTCCACTCTACTGACTGGTGTGGGTGCTCCCGTTCTAGCGCGATGTGGGGAAGCTGCAAGTTCACCGGGAACTGCTGGGCAAGCTGGTGGCAAGTCCAGGCAGCCTCACTCGAGACCTCCGAGGTCGACGGCCATTTCCCGGGTTCTTCGCTCCGGCATCCTTCACGGCTCGGGTCATGTGCCACGAGCCTTTCTCCGACCAATCTTCAGCGTTAACGAGGCTGGTGCACGTGTCCTGGGATGACTCTCTACTCGCTCACTATAGCCGCGCTTTCGTGTGCGATGAGCATGGCCGTGGTTACTCACTTGACAGCTGTGGGGTTCGCTGCCGATGCGTAAAATGCAGATTCGCAATTTTGAGGCGCTACCGTACGTCGTATGATTCGATTTGTTTCTTGCAATGAACCACACTGTGTCTTGTTCACTTTTGCATGCCTGCTAGTGCCCGCAAAGTTAGAATTCGCTTTGAATAGCTGTTCGCTCGATAGCGGAGCACACCGTCACAGTTCCTCTTTCAAGGTACGCTATAGTAGACCGCTAGTACAAAGGAAGTGGTACCATTGCCTGCTGGTCTTCGTCACGAACTCAGAAATGCCGGCGGGCGGATCATCTAACAGTGAGTTCAAAGAGTGAACTTAATACAGGTCCGAGGTGCGCTTTGCGATGTTCGCTACGTGCGTGTCGCGCTACAGCAGTGTGATGATCGAGTTTATTGAGTATCTGCTAAAGCGTAATTATCATGGATCCGCGGGGCATGTCGCGCTACAGCAGTGTGATGATTGAGTTTCCTGGAGTATCTGCTAAAGCGTAATTATCATGGATCCGCGAACACAGAATGAGTCAAAATGTGCTTAAATAGTTTGATTTTCAACAGCCATGGTCTCGAGATGTGGAAGCTGCAGCTGACACACACACAGAGTGACTATCGGACCAATGGTGTAGCGTGCCGGAGCATCTTGGCGGCCCCAGCCAATCGGGGGCCTTGAAATGACCTTATAACATTTGCTTTTTGTGCGCTTATTTTTGAAAGGAGGAGTCAACTGAAGCAGGAAATTCGAACAAAGAAAAATTCTTCATCCAACAAGCCCAAGATCACCATGCCTGGTTGCCCCATTACTGAGCAATAATTTTTTGAAAAACACATTTTCTTTTATTAATTTTTGCAATACCTTTCACCACCTCTGTGGCCGCAACAATTTTTAACAGCACTGTGTAGGCTGAGGTTTTCAGGGAAGATATTTTCGAATTCTGCAGAAACTGAAAACGAGATATTCGGAAAATCAATTTTTTTTTGCCTTTTTTCGAGATTTTATTCCTGCGTCCCCCCTTAAAGATAAAACACAGAACACTATAGCTAACTTGCATGCATTAGTCTATGAGGCCCGCTCTTTTCATCAACACAATGCGGACCCTTTGCTTGCATAACCTTCTCAAATGTTTTCCATTAGTTACCTGCCCAGCCTTTTATATTCTGAAATGATACTGTAGAATGCTACTGTAAAGTTTCGCTATCTTTATTTGGGTCTTCAATTGTGGTCATAATCTCAGTTTGCACCATTTACCATATCTACTCACGTAACAATCGCTGTCGCATAATAAACACACCCTAAACATTAGTCATTAAAATTTAGATTTTTATTTTCCCCGCGTAATAAACCCACCTCCTAAATTTGTCCGCTGCAGTCCCGCTAATCCACACTTGGCGTATCCTTGCCCGTGGGATCTTATATGTTTTTTATTATTATGCTGAGCCCCCTTGGCCACCTCGATTTGCTCCCTCCTCTCGTTCGCCTGCTGCTGCGCGCCGTATAGTTCTTTTTTTTCCATCTGTGTGCAGCACGTACCCAGTATTTTTTAAATATTTATGCACCACAGCGTGGGTTCACGAAAGATGTAAGTGTAGAGACATCGCAGCTGACAAGCACACAGCTAACAAAAGTTAAGAAACTTCCCACACTAACCGACGGTCGCTTCCTGCAAATATGAAACATTAAGGCACAACCACATGCACACGATTTTCGAGTGACAACAGGATTTGCTGTCACTATGGCTGTTGCGAAGGGCTATTCGTCCCCATCCCGTCGCAGGTTTATAAACGCGCCCCCAACTTTGCTCCAATTTTATTTTTTTAAAGAAAAGTTGCGTTCATTGCGCCAGTAGATACGGTACCTAGCCCCATGCTTCCGTTTTAAGGGGGAGGCTACACCGGAAACCAAACGTTTATTTTTTAAGATATCTTCATGAAACTTTCAGGATATGTTCACTACACTCAAAAAAGAAAAACTGCAAAGTTTCATGAAATTGTGTTCAGGGGGTTCTAGAGTTACTGAGGTCTAACTGGGTGGTTCAATTGTGTGCCTGAGGAAGAGCCGGAATAAATCCCAGGACATACCAGAAGGCTGAAATTTTTTGTGGTCATCCCTGGATAGATATCTTAGGACGCTAAAGAGCCGTTTTTTTTCTAATTTACCCCCACCCAAACATTTATGCAACTTTGTATTTGATGTAGCCAGCAAGTATGACATTTACAAAAAATAATTCTTTATTAATAATTATAGGCACCAATTTTCAAAAAAAGAAGCTTATTACACCCTGGCAAAATTATTCAGAAGCAGAATAAAAAAATGGCGCACAAATCTGATAAGCAGTTCTTG